TTTAGCAAATGTATACCGAAGTGATTTTTGTGAACTAACGTATTACAGGCTTGATACCGTAATTCAGTACGTCAGGTGCAGATGCCGCCAACGACTCCGAGCGATTAACCCATTTGAGGGCACGACCAACCAAGCGTCCACTTAAAAAAGGCCTCCCAATATCCCCACAAGCACACTTTAGGCCGCACGCAGTAATATAAGAAAACCAGCAGGTGGAGCTCACCCTTCAGTGGCGTTTTGTCGCTCAGAAATGGAATGTTTGTGCCAATACTTGAATACGAGTATTATTGATATTGCACTTAAATATTCGAATATCAGGATCCTCTGGATGTTTACCTTGACACAGATATAATAACATGTAATATTTATACATCATAAATATTATTTAATGTGAATAAATGGAGTTCATTAGTTTAATGTAGTGAGTCTTAGTCAATTGTGGTGACAATGAGTACTGATATTAAATATAAATATATGTATATACTGTATCTATGTCTTCACGAATTTCCCGTAATCTCTTATGTTTTCCTTTAGGGAAATGCGTAGCAGAAGATTACTCTATTATATACACCAAATTATAACAGTATTTTAATAAATACATGTTATATTTACAGAACAAACAAATTTACAGAACATGTACAAACTGCCGTACGGTACATCCTTTTGACATAAAATTTTGTAAACATATTGCCATTAATATTGAACATTACAGACATTACATATTTAATAAAAAACATTAAGATAGACACATTTGTCGCAGAGGGTGTGTAATACAGAAAAAAAATCGGAAAATCACTTTTACGCGATCGTCGTGTCCTGTCAAATCCTCCTGTCTCTATAAAATAGGATGTAAATTACTTAATATTTAATGTGTATTAGTTTATTGGCTTGTTTCTTACATAGGCAACCCGACGCCAACCCCCATTGGGAGTGTGATCATTCTCAGGTAGAACAATGGCACAAGGTTAAGTGGGAGAAAGAAAACTTATAAGACAAGGGAGCTAAGATAATGGATTCCGTAAATCTCAAGGGGGAAACGGGCCTGAGACTGCAATAGCTTGAAAAGACCCGGCAGGGCTCGAGTACCCATTTAAGATGGTCCATCGGTCCGTACGGGTCCATCCTGTGATTGAAGAGTCTGCTAAGTCATGGACTATAATAACAATAAAAACGAACAATTATATTAAACGTAGAATAGAAAAATCTATTAAAGTTCAACTGACACCAATACAGAACGTAGGTACTTTGTACTTCTATACTATATTACCCACAGTGTGGTTTACCATTTTCGATATGGTTTTCCATATTAACTTTGAAAAATCGAAAAATTACGAAGAAACTCGTGATATTACTTGTCTAGTAGTTTGATATATTTCAGAAAAAAGAATAGAAAGAAGAAAAAGAAATCTAAATTAATACCAAAATAGGCTACCTGTAAATCAAAACTGTATACAATGAATTAATTACTCAGCGATAACGGTAAATTTTGTATTGATATTCAGAGATTTTTTATAAAACTATCAAACAATGTCTGATAATATTTTTTAATAGCTACAGATATATGCCGTCGATAAAGCAACTCTTTCTATTACGTGTGACCAAAGTCTTAATTTTAACAAAAATCACAAATGCCAGTCATGGTAAATATTAGAATAAAATTTTTGGCATTAGACGACATTCTTTACTAATATTTCAAAGTAATCTTAATAACAGAATGCAGTGTTAAGATAGGGTCATCATTCAGTAATTTTATCCCTGGCCTATTGTATTTGATGAACATTAATGCCTTTGTAACCTTTCGATACCATATTGTTTTATTTACACCTACGCAGACGATACAGCTCTACTCATTCACGGTTCCAATTAGTTTGAGACATTCTCTGCAACTGAGTCCGCTCTAGGAAAGGTGATGGCTTGGCTCTCAAATAATCTTCTGAATCTTAACGTAAATTAAACAATGTATCTCACTTTTACACCAACCTCCAGCACACTGCCTAACTCCGAAATTTTTAAGGTGAGACTTCACAATTGTCAACACACTATAGAAATGTCCTCTAACTTTCCCACCGTAAATAGAACCAATACTTTATTTTATTTTACCATATTCATATGGAAGTTAATTTTCTAGATGCCATTTCAAGGTCATTGAAAGGAAATGATATGCAAACATTTTAGATAACCCACCCCTCTAATACTCTGAATGCAAGGTCCTCACTGACCGTAAAATGTATGTGATCCAAACAGTTTTACGTAAACATAACACTCTAAAATACGATCCAGAAAGACGCACACACGCAAAACTTATAAAATTTGTCCTGTCACATGCAGAACTGTCCCCGCCAGGAGACACTTTCGTATTATTTATATAACACAACCGAGATATTAATGAGACTCACTGGGCTATAAAATTAAACAGAAATACACACACTCGCGCGCACGCACATACACGTCTTTTCATAAGTCTTCAATTGTGAGAGGAACTGGTACCCATGACTCAAGTTAAATCATAAAATGGGTACCAAAGACTGCTTAAGTTTTCAATAATGTTGTTGTGATAATATGTCTGTAAATCTATATGTCAATAAAAAATATTATTATTAAATAACACTAGATGTTTGAACTTATTACCAATTTATTTTAATTTAAAACTTTAATTTTACAAATCCTGGCATTTTATACAACTGTAAAGAACAATATAGAATACGTTTTGAGAAATTGTAGCAGTCACTTATACAATCACATCCAACATGCTATTTTTTTATTGAATTACCCTTTGCAATGCCTTAGATATAGATTTTTCCACACAAAAAACGAAAATATCGTAGGAAATGTTGCTTTGACATACATAAATGAAGCAGATCATATTAACTTACAATCTTGCAATGACGTTCGTAAGTACATACTAGTCTACTAAAATAATACATATGAAAAGAAGCTTTGTTTACATTTCCGGGTGTGTCGTTGAGACAAAAAACTGTTTTCCCGTTGACACGAAGCCTTCAGTATTCCGTATTATATTACATCCATTTTCTCGTTGAGATGTCACGTTCACACTCCTTAAATATTTTTTTTGTATTACTCAACTTTCTTTATGCAATATATGTATATCTCTCTAACTAAGAGCATAATAACTAAAACATTTATATTCAGAAGCAGAATTCATTTCATTCAATAATAATAAAATTATAACAATTTCACGTATCTTACATATTACCGTTCAATGTCAAATTAGGCCGAGCCTGTGCTGGTAATTAGATGCTGAAAAACATACACATATATATCTTAATGTATATATTAAAGATAAATCACGCCCAAACACAGAACAAATGATCGTACTCATCGTGGCTTATCAATCAGTATCGAAAACTATTAAATCAAATATGCCCACAAAATGATCCATCGGGATGAAGTGATTACATTACTAACATAATTGTAATAATTTATATTGAAGTGTCAACATTTATTTTTACATAATTTAAATACATATAGTTGATATCTTTATACAAGTACTTTGACCTAACCAACCAAATAACTAAAAATGGTTAAGTCGCAGCATTGTATGCCGTGGAAGTGGGTGCGAGAGGTATACCAGCTAAATCCCTCTATGACCTTGGATTACCAAGAGCTTCAGTGAGCTCTTTTCTTTAACGTATATCCAAAGCGGCATTGCTAGGCTCGTATCAAATATGGTTAGGTAGAGAGGATAACACAGCAGAGGTGAGCGCTGACGCATCGCAAGGAGTACTCCCTAAACCTATACCTGGATCGCAACTATATCACGCGATGGACCCGGCATGGAACGCTAAGAAATAGGTCTTTTATATTCACATCTTTCTTCCCCTTTCTTCTTAAGGGATAGAAAGAGGAAAATTAAAATTCTTAGCTTTTGCTGACTACAATTTTAGTTTCACTTACGCGAGAACGAGCAAGTCTATTATTGCCGTCAACCAGCCACATACGAGTATATTGTTTAAATAAATATATTTATACACAATTATATACAAGTTATAGATAAATTACACCTAGACATAGAACAAATGATCAAGCTCATCACAATATTTGCCCTGGGAGCTAATCGAACAGACGATCTCTTGCTTAGCAGTGACTAATATATTTATGTCAAATTCGCCTTCAAGGGCATATCAGTTTAATAATAATAATAATAATAATAAAATTCTTTATTGCCACAAATTAGTATATACAGGTTAGACATTTCGAGATTATAGTCCAAACACAAATAACATTATATAGTGTTCTGCTGGTACTTAAAATAGGATAACCTGTGCTATAAGTACCAGCAACCTCTGCAGTATCACTAAAATACATTTTTAGCTGGTTATAAAACAATAAAGATGCAATAAGAACAATCTAAACTACAACAGCTTGAAAGCAAGAAAAACATGCAATTAACTTAGGTATGTGTGTGTGTGTGTGTGTGTGTGTGTGTGTGTGTGTGCGTGCGTGTGTATGTGTATGTGCACGTGTTGCGTGTGTATGTGTATGCGTGTGTTGGGTTCCGTGATCCGTTTCTGTTGATCTCGGTGTCAGTGTGTGGGTTTTTGTTATGTTTGTATTTTGATTTCGTTTTAATTCATAATATCGGATGAAGAAGTTCTTCCGTTTCATCATAGCTTAGTTTTAGCAGCCAGTCTGTTACAATCCTTTTGCATTCATATTTATTTTTACAGTCAATTTTTAAAACTTTGTTGACTTTTATGTAAGTGAATCGTCCGAGAAAGCCAAAGAATCTATGACTAAAAGATGTCCTGTGCCTGTCAGCTGGTGGAAGTTTAAGCCTGCGTGAAGTTGGTCGCGGAGATACCGAAAGATGATGAGATTTGAGATTTAACGAATGTTGCTTTAGTAATATTTGTAGAATGAAAAGTTGACGCACTGTTAGAACTTCGCAGTGCTCATACAGTTCTTTTGTAGGATAGCGGTATGGTTTAAAGGTGCACACTTTTAATACAGCCCTTTGTGCGCGCTCTAACTTAATAAATTTAGTCTTTAGAGCACCACCCCATGATAAGATACAATACCCCAACAAGGACTGGCACAAGGCATAATAAACTGTTTTCAGGATTTTTGGTTCTGCAACATGCCTTAGGTATTTGAAAATAAAGATGAGTTTACGTATTCTACCTGTTAAAAGTTCAATGTGCGGCACGAAACTAAGACTTTCGTCTATAATTACACCTAGGTACCTAATGGTAGCAACATCTTGTAACTGAGGGCAATTGCATGTCAGATAACAGCATGTAGTGTGGTTATGTGCCGTAATAGAAAATCTATTTGGTATACTGTTTTTTTTAATTTGGAATCTTATGATTTTAGTCTTGTCGACATTAATTGCCAGTGTGTTTTCTGCTAACCACTTAGTTATTCTATTGAAACCGGTTTGCGCCGCATCGTAAACTTCTTCCCACGTTTGGCTCGTAAAAATAAGCGTGGTATCATCAGCAAATGCCAAGAGTTTGCCATTTGTTAGTTTTAATTTGCACATTTCATTAATATAAACTAAGAAGAGTGTGGGACCAAGGATGCTTCCCTGTGGTACACCATATTCTATGGGAAGTTCTCTGCTAACGTACCTACCAATCTTTACACATTGTGTTCGGTTTGTCAGATAGCTTATAAAAAGATTCAATTGTTGGTCCCTAACACCGATACGCTCTAATTTGAGAATTAGTTTGGGAATGGAGACCGTGTCGAAGGCCTTAGCCAGATCCAAGAAAATTGCAAGACTTTTCTTGCGTCTATCCAATGCCTGAACAATATTTTCAGTGAGTTCGTGCACTGCATCATTTGTGGATCTATTACTTCTGAAGCCGTATTGATTGATGGAGATAATATCCTTTTCTTCAAGATATTTCTTAAGGCGGGTGTTAATGATTTTTTCCAAGATCTTGGACAAGGAGGGCAAGACCGATATTGGTCTATAATTATTGACACGATCTACATCCCCCGTCTTATATATAGGGTGAATAAGGGCCCTCTTAAAAAGGTCCGGAAAAACACCTGCATTTATGCATAAGTTAAAAATATATGTCAAAGGTGGAACAAAAATACTCTTAAACTGTTTTATGAGTTTAGCAGATATACCATCAATACCAGTTGCACAATCAGTACGTAAGTCTAGTATCATCTGCTCTACTTCCAGTTCATCAGTTTGCAGAAAAACAAGAGAGTCCGATGCAACATCTGAAACTGTAATGTCCGATGTGCTGGGAATATTAGCATATGTTTGGGAGACTTTATTAGCTATATTTTGCCCAATCGTAGTAAAAAACTTATTAATTTCCGCAAGGGAGTCGTCAATACTGCCGTTAATTTTTAACAATGGACTAGCAGTAACTTTTGTTTTATTGGTATTAGTTACGTCTCTAATTACCTGCCACATCTTCTTGGGATTAGTTGAAGCTTTATTTAATTCCTTCCTCTCATACTGTCTTTTCAGGCTTTTTAAGATATTGCTGCAATAATTCCGGTATCTTTTGTAGGTTATCTTAATGGCATCGTTGTTTGGCGATTTTTTCATTTTCAAATACATCCTATCCCTGTTGCGCATACACCTTAAAACGCCTGGTGTAATCCACGGTTTGGTGATTTTCAAACGATGCGGCACACTATAGGCTGAAGTACTCAGTTGTATAGCTCTGGCAACTATATCAATAAAATATTTAAGCGCAACATTTGCGTCAGTACATTCGTATATATAGGAAAGTTCACTATTTTTCAGATGGTTTTCCAATTCAACATAATCGGTTTTATTTAAAGTTTTGTGTGCGTTGTCGATTTTGACCTTTTCTAGTGTTAGTAAAACAGCGTTATGGTCCGTAACAGTAGAATCTATAACAATAGTTCTAGCTTTAAGTTTTGTTTTTAGAAAGACATGGTCAAGACAGGTTTTATTATGACGAGTAACTAAGTTATGGGCAGCAAGTAGACCATGACTAGCGTTCAGAGTTAAATAATCTGATGCTGTGTTGTCTATGTTCCCATCTGAAATGTCAATATTAATGTCACCGATGACCGTTACATTTTTGTAAGAAGCATTTAGGGTAAGTACTTGGTCTAAAGAGCAAAGAAAGTTGGAGATATCTTTAAAAGAGTTTATAATGATGGTATAACGTTTTTTATGCAAAAATATGTCGTTGTACTAGCAATAAGTCTTTTAACATAAAAATTGATGCCGCATATTTGTGTCAATATCTATCGAGCTATAAAACTTTATTAGACAGAAACAGTGTAGCAATTTGTGAAAGACCTAAAATGGTCTATTTATATACTCGTAAGGAATGTTAATGTTTTAATGCAATTTGTTATGATTTGGTAATCACACGGAAAAACACTTTCCACTTACTTGTCTCAAAAACAGTAGAAAAATAGCTTAATGTTTTTTGATGTGACACAAGATAAGCTAAGATAAAATTATATCTTTTTTACCTCGCTCTTTATTTACTTGTAATGGCCAAGCTTGTTTATTTTGCTTCGACTTGTTAACAACTGTTGGCCGTTTAATACCCGATAGCCGTAATAGCAAAAATCTGCAGACGAATCTGATTGATGAGCAATGAGCTTGACCCTGAACATTAGGTCCGATGACATTGAAGAAGATGTCCTTTATTAATGGATTCCAGTATAATCCATTAATCACACAACCACAGCAGATAAACCAGTCTATTTTGCGTATCACCGCCAAGTTCGACAAGAGGAAATTGTTCACAATTATTTTTGACTTGCCATTTCCTGCAGTTTCACCCGCAGTTATGATCACTGTTTCGCTTCTAAAAATTGTAATGAGATGTTTCACAGCTTATATTATCCCTTAATAACTTTTTTATCCAACATGAAAAAATAATTTAGACCTGACCGATAGTCATAAAGATAATAGCGTTTAAACAAACAGAAAGAAAAATTTCAAGGTTATTTTATTAATAAGTCAAGTTATGAAGTAATTAAGTTTCACGGTAAAGATTTATACTTTTAATACCTACCACGTAATAGTGAGTGAATCTCTTGTATGCTAATATTTTCTGATTTGTGTTCACTGCGAAAATTAACCTCGGAGCTATAACGCGGAATCAACAAAGCAGTTAGGTAAAATGAATAGTCATTTCAATGTTTTGCAGACCATTATTTATTTTTTTACGTGTGGAAACCCCCTCGGGGCGTCACCCCACCGGGGTTTACGGCGGGGTGGTGTGTCGTCTTAGCAGAAGGATGCGACAGCGGTAAAATAACTATCGTGTACTTCTTCGGGCAGGGGCCAACTGCCGCGTCACCACTGCGTCGACTGTCGGGAAGACACGGCGCGGCAGACGCTGGCAGAGTGTGCCGCCTGGGAGGGGCCGCGCCGTGCCCTCATATCTGTAGTAGGCAGTGACCTCTCGCTGCCGGCCGTAGTTCGTTCTATGTAGTATGTCCTGGGACGCGGCGACGTCCTTCTGCGAAATAGTAATCTCGCAGAAGGAGGCTGCGGAGACTGAGAGGGAGACCCTGACCTCTGCTTTATCGAACATATTAAAATAGATAATGAAAAGTCTAAAAAGAGTTTCTGTGCATTGACAAGGATATCAACTGTGATATGGGGTCTATCATTTAATACATTAAAGATCATATACGGAGCTACTTATTTAGGTTCTATGTGCTATGGTGCACCTGTATGGGCCGATAGGGCGACCGTAGGCGCTGTCCGTCGCAAACTGTTACAAGGCCAACGACTTGCACTGATATTCTTGTGTAAGGCATATAGGACGGTTAGCACTGAGGCTTTGCCGGTGTTGGCGGGTGTGCTTCCGGTCGATCTCGAGGTGCAGAGACGTGCAGCCATGTACTATTCAAGACAACAAAACATCGAATGCGATTTTTGGGCGCGCGGGATCGCGGTAAAATTACAAGATTGCTTCAACAGCAGCCCGATGTCTATAATGACCTCATAGACGAATGGCAACAACGCTGGGATGAATCATCCAAGGGGCGCCATCTTTACCAATTCTTTCCATCTGTTCGCGAACGGTTGTCGAGGATATGGCTTGAGGTGGATCACTGTGTCGCTCAATTTCTTACGGGTCATGGTAACTTTAAGAGCAAGCTTTATTCATTTAAATTAGTCGAGTCACCATTGTGTCAATGCTCAACACCTAACTCTCACTATGAACAGTCTGCTCATCATATCCTCTGGGAATGTAGTCTTTGGTATAATGAACGTAATATAATGCTGAATAGCTTACAGGTTTGCGGTATACTATGGGGATCTTGTGTCAACTAGGGTGAATTTCCGTGCGTTTAGGCGATTCTGCCATACATATTATAGAAATCAAACATAGCTCACGTAGGACCCGTAATATTTGTGGCCGTGGTGCTTCCCTGTTTAAAAAGGTGTATGCCCATTTTACTTCATTTTGTCTCCCGCTTTGCTAAGGAGGGAAGTGGATTTACTGTATTTAGAACTCCTCCAATTTTCTTCTGATTAATTTCAAGCTGAGAATATTTCCCCAGCTTCTCGGCAAACGTGTCCGCCGTCTTTGCCTTCAGCCCCAGGGAACTCGAGAACTCGAGGCGCATCCTGACCCTTACCGTCCCGAAATCATTTTCGAGACTGTCCCGGGCCTTCTTGAATACGGTCGCGTACGACAGTCCGCCGTTAGCCGCCTCCGCAGATACGGTGACCCGCGGTTATAGGCGGCTGCAGTTTCAACGGCTTCTTTTTAATTTGCCACAGCCACCGAAGGCGATTGCGGAGTAGGGGCTGTTTTATTGGCAACCTACTTACCCCGCTTTCGGAACTTCTTAGCCGCTCCAACTACCTGCCACCTATCGTTAATGGGGGCAAATCTATAGGGGCCAGGCACATTTGTCAGAGTGGGAAGTGGAGGGAACTCCACCCCAGCCCTTGCCGCAGTAGTTCCGGCCCTTGGTACCGTTGTGTTTGCCAATGTTTTGCACATTCATAGCTTAATGTAGAAAATTCAGACGTTTTTTAAGATATTTACACCAAATTTTTATACGCCAACATGGAAAGGAAGTGAGAAACACAAATTTGTTTTGAATAAATGGGAAAAATATTTACAAGAAGAAGTAAACCAGCTGCTATTATATATCATATTAAAAACACAATTTTTTTCTCTGAAAAATCTGTAGTGAATTGTCAAATACATAGGGTACAAATGGATAACAGTAATGGAACTTTTATTATAATATTCAATACAATGCTCACGGTAATTTTTTTGAATCCAATACGTATATTACGTGTGTCAAAGGAATTAACGCCATATTGGAAAAAAAAAATTGGTAATACTTGCATAACAATGATAAAGGCAGTCACAAATAGGACGTTTGCGACCCACGTCACCGTAGCTGAGCTGACTGACAGGTCGTACCAAAATAGAAGCTTTTGTACATACAATAATTCATCTAATTTGGTGAGGACTACCATCGTACCGAATAAAATACTAACGAGATTATTATGAGTTCGCTATGGATAGTTACATATGTTTTACTTTTATCGTAGACTGATGTACTAGTAGTATAGTCTAAATATCAGGCTAAAGTGTGTAATGAGCTGGAAGTAAGTATCGACAAAATTGCAAAAGTTTGTGGGGGAACGGGTGTTATGTTTCTCCAACACAAACGGAGGATCCTCCAATCAGGCGAGTGATCATGCCTGGCGAACCGTGGCCCGGCGGTTGATATTGGGAAGTTGTACATATGCCATAATCGGCGTGATAACTTTTTATATCGTGATGTAGGATTAGTAGTTACTCTATAGTTCTGTGTGTCTTTGTTAAATTGCACTGAAGTATGTTGTTTTTTCCATCGTAGGTATGTGGAATTTGATAAGTTTGAGGCATTGACAGACAATCTATTTTTAAACAGTGTGTGTTGTGATGTGATGACATATGGAGTAAGGACGTGGTTGCTCACAATGGGCCTCATAAGAAGGCTCAAAGTCACCTAAAGAGCAATGAGGGCAATGCTCGGAGATGTGATGATATGTGTGTGATGATGATGATGACATCTCACATATGGCCGCCCGATCCCAAATTAGGCAGAGCCTGTATTAAAGTAAGCAGACACATACTAAACCAAAAGCCTCTATTAGACTAAACTTATACTTTGAATTCCATATATACCTAGAAATACCAGACCAATACCGATAGGCATTTCATTCACAAACGTTTGCATTGATCGGAAATCGAACCTGCAAACAAGAAAGTAATCGAATGCTCAACATGCAATTAACATAACTTCGAGTTTAATTTAATCAAACATCTTCTATTAAATTTGACTAACTAATGACCTGAGGGATAGAAAGCAACTTCCACCTAATAATCAAAATTCAAGGACTTTAACACCTTTGGGAGAACCGTTATTTATTGACCCGTGGCAGAGTTGCATCTAATGATAATGATATTACTATCACACATTTACAAGCTTCTTGATCTAGCGGTTAGTGATCCTTAGCCAGAAGTCGCGGGATCGATTTAACCCAGGATATGTAACTGAGTGAAGAACACGATCATTTATTTGTTTTTTATTTAGTAACAGTATATCATCTACTATCATTAGCCTTCCTAGCACAGTGCAGGTATTCTTATAACTTGTTTCTAAATAACGCAAAAGTTCAAGTGGGTAATGTAATTACTGTTTAAGTTCTTGCACACTACTCATTGTAGTTCTTAGAGAGCAAGCAAGTCCTGTGATTCGGGTGAACGTGAAGCTAAGTCATTCTTAAATCAAACGTTTTAGTTTCAGAATGCATCATCGATGAAAGTTAGAAGCTGCAATTAGTACAAGTTTAAAAAAATCAAATCAAGCATTACTATATATCACTAGCAGATGTCAATACCTTATATGTTCAGTTTGCTCATTCATATAGGTCACTTAATAAATATTTCTTTAAACAGATACTTTTGGACATTTTAACTATACTGAACGTGCACTATACTGCCCTAAATGTATTTTACTTGTTTTTCTCTATCCCATAATTACCTTTAACTCTTGTCTTTCAATACACGTAGGAAGCTGTATTTTTATCGATGTAATAAAAAGCTCAATTACAAAAGGGCAGGAAGACGTCACTCAGAAGAGAAAGATAAAAAATGTAACTAAAGTAAAATAACGCAGGAACATAATAAATCGTTTAATCAAAAATGATAAATAACTGTACTTTAGGCATCACTCTTATGTTTTATATTTGTTGAAATTCTGCTAAAAGTAGTCAAGCCTCCGACAGCAATTATCTATTTTACTTGATTGATGTTTTATTTAGAATTTAATTTGCCGACGGTACGTATTGTTTGAAGGCTGAAAAAATGTCTAAAAGAAGCATTTTAATTTAGAAAACCTAATTAATGATGTGATACTTAATATCTATACTTAGAAATATTATTTTTATAAAAAATAAAAAATCCAGCGAGCCTTACAGTAGTCCAATAATATGTGTAACATTTCACCCACCATTAATATTATTATTTCTTACCTACCGTCTGGCAGCCAACTCTAGCAATGCGCGTGGTCATTCTTAAATTGTGCACCTTTCCCCCCTTTTCTGTTACACACTTCCATTCCTTTCCACTAAGTTTTGGAGAAAGCTAAAATGTCCTAATTTTAGGTACTTTAATTTAAGTGTGGGAGAGCCATGCTTCGGCACAAATACACACCGATCTCATAGAAAACTGTTTCGTTCGTTGCTTTTCACCGAGTAACTGAAGTTACCGGAGCCCAAACTCTGATTTTGAAGGGGGAAAATTCAAAACGTGGCTACGCACTGGTGTCTTGCACTTACTATCAAGTCTACCCTACTACCCTAGACCGTAATTTTTTTGTGTTTATACGTAAAAATTAACGACCTAATTTCCCAGTAGGTACAGTTATAAATTCAGGAAAAGCTTGTAACGCAAGCACAATATATTTGGTTGTTAACATAGTCCGAAGTTATTATTTTTACAGCGAGCAGCCTGAATAGATGAGTCAGACAACATGTAATTTAACTTGCCTACACATTAATTTTGTTAAAAGTACCAAGTAAAGCATTTGGGAGATATTCGAGAGGACAGAGTTCGAAAGCGTCCCTCGTCAAATCGTTCTCGTTCCGCTTACACTCAACCGACCGAATTTAATTTGAATACGACACCATAGAGTTTGCCTTTACGGAATAAATAAAACGTTTTAAACTTAAGTGTCAGAACTGCGATGCTATTTTTGATTTATATACAGTTTTAGAGGTATTCACGAAGATTTATAGTAACAAATTGGCCTATCAAGACGGTTAAACAATTTCCGCACGGAGTAGGAACAAATTTTACGGCTTGCGATTCTTCACGCTGATCAAAATATTGTTAATTTATTAACTGCTGTTCAGTATAAATTAGAGTGGGTTAGTTTATAGTAATAATAATTTACACCTTGACTCAAAAGATAATTTGAATGTATTATTATCATCGTTATCACATTTCAGTAGATACAAAAGCGTTGTTGCTCTGTTGTTAAAGCAATGATTAAATAACCTCTTAGATTAATTAATTTATCTTGGACACACTTCATTTACATTTCTAACACAGTGCGTTGAAACGTAAAAATTTATTGAATTAGTTACTCTACTTGTGACACCGCAAAGGTCAGACGACCTGTGAATGCTTAACAACAGGAGGGCCATGCGCTTGTTTACTAACTTCAAATGGTACATCTAATCAAGAAAAGAGCATACTCCTTCCTCAGAGGCTGGCAACGCGCTTGTGACTCCTGAGTTGTAGGCGTTCATGGCCGGCGGTAGTTGCTTTCCATCAGGTGAACCGTCTGCTCGTTTGCCTCCTATTCCAAAAAAAAAACTCTGCACTTTTCAAAACATAACGTCATAAACAGTTATTAGACACTCATAACATAAAATCATTTTTCCAAAAAGTGTAATAAATTTTCGCAGAATAAGTGCGTACTTTTCTAAATCAATTCTCTTTAACATACTCGTATCATGTCGTTCTCAAGCCTACAAGATATCAGGCTCGAAAATTTTATGTAGTTTTTATCTAACTGATACTCTAGCACTCTGAAAAATATATCAACCTTGGTTCCTTAGGCGGTTATGTAACGTGAGTATAATTACTCCCGTTACATAACCGCCTAAGGAACCATTATACAACTGACATGAAGCCAATGCATAAAGATTAGTGTGACGATATAACTTGCACTGCTTCGGCAAAAGTAAAAGAATAAAAGTAGTTTCAGAAAACAAACAACGCCATATTGTTACCACCTTTCCGCTTGGCAAACACAGTGACTATAATAACATTCCAGGAGGGTCGTCCAAAAACAACAATCTCCTAAAAAAGTTTATATTCCACAGGGGAATGCTTTGGCTGAATATAGAAAATATTAAAATTAGGTCAAAGTGTCCAAGTTTTTGGGTAAATATGTTTAATAAAATTGAGCAAATAACGAAATAACGTTAACATTTTGGTTTCTGCTATCCTCTTCTTGTGATACTAGAAAATGATGTTAAGGGTATTTTCCATGTCTTTCACCTTGGTTATATGAAATAGGACTACCGATTTTAAATAAACAAGACCATTGATATTTTAAATTATCTATTATTATTTACATACTAAATATAGAAGATAGGAATTTTGAAATTGTCGATCAATTTCAAAATTCCTATCTTCTATCTACCTCTCTTACCAGCAAAGCTGTTACAGCAGTTTTGGTAGATTTGTTACCTTGTTTACCATTAGGTAGAATGCTATTTTGTCCGAGGTATGTGATACAATAGGTCCTTTGTCTTTTGTCAACCGTTTTGATATATGTCTTGGAAAGATTATGAAATAAATTTTATTTTGTATAAAAAACATGAAGAATCATGAAAGATAATGAAGACAAAGTTACATAATCTCCAAACCGCCACAACTCATTTGCAAAATTCTTAACATGATTGATAGCTTCCAAAGTTTGAGTATAAGTAACCAAAATGAGATCACGAATACGTGCGTAGAAAGACAAATCTATCTTATTTATTTTTTACATGAGTATCAGCAAAACAAAATTAGGTTGTTACGCTATAATGCTATAAGTTTAATCTAATATGGCTTTTAGATTCCATTCAGTTAAAATAAATAAAAAATTCATTTCAGTTTTTTAAATCCCTTCAATTAAGTTGAATGTTTTTGTTAGAAGTTTTAACGTCGAGTCGCAATGGATCAGATTCGTAATTGCACCTGCAGACCTCGAATAACTATCACTTTCAAGTGTTGCTTCGGTTTTATTTATTTCAAAGCAAGTCCAACCAGAGTTAAGATTTAGTGAAATCCGTATGGTAACTGAAACCGAGAAACAAAAAAAGGATTATAAATAAAATAATCTTCTCCTACATTAAATTGCGCTGGTGGTGTGTTCGTTGATTCCTTTTAAGTATCTGATCTATTTTATTCATAAGGACTAAACTCCAGTCTTCATTCTTTTGAAAGTTAGCTTTTAAATCTTTCACTATATTTAGTAGTAAAAAGGAAAACAATTTTTTTTGCTCATTTCATTATTTGATTTCGATCAAAAGACTTGAATCAGAATTAAATTAACTTTATCGATACTTATAAAATAAATGAAATTATAAATAATAAATAACTAACCCTTACGCCACTTCGTTACTTCCCATATTAACTCAATGACAAAAACCTACTCACATTTACTTATCGTTAACACGTCGCTTGAACGATTGAACGAGTAAGCAGTTTTGATCCAGCTATAAAAATGTAAGGGAACAGGTGCGAAGTAAAATTAAACTCTTGTCCAGAGAAGGTATTGTAAGTAAAATTAAATTGGGCCAGGATTACGGAGGATAGCTGCCAATGATTACTCTACGTTGAACCCAAACCTGAATACTGATCGAAAGTCGAAATTCATTGTCATTGGCTGTTACTCTAGTTGGTTTTAGAGTTAGTAAATTATTTTTGAAACGTTGCTGACATCTGGTATTCCTGACATTTTGGTTTCAGTAAGCGTTACGTAACCGGGTAATTGCTAATAAAAAAATATTTTTATTCTTTTCTGTAATGTAACCAGTCATGAGAAATATTTTTTTAGGGTTTGAATTCATATGACTGCTCCATACCTAAGCTAGTTGTTAGTTTTGATTCATATTTACTTTGAAGTGCTCGTGCAGGTGAGATATTTTTCATATTTTCTTAAATTTATTTCCCCGAATAGCTAATACCACTGAATGGTTTACTACATCGCACTAGCTCAAGGTTCAATTTAGTAATAAAAAACTCTCAAAATTCTTCTCAGACATTTATCATCGCTTACACGTTTTTGGACATAATACCCAATGTATCGGTCCCAAATCCAACATTCATTTCCATTTTTGTGACTTCACTAAATGACGATCTATAGCGCAGCCTGACACTCCGTAAACTCACGTTCTTATAAGTTAACTTTTAACATTATAAAGTGAAAAGTATACTCATTCGCATTTTTATAGAATTAGAAGGAGAACGTTCTACTCGTTCACTTAATTTGTAGGTTATTAGGTTAATATTACTATTAATTTGAAAAAATAATTTAGGCGCAATATATAATTTCGACTAAGTGGCGTGCAATGGGAGAAGCCTATGTCCAGCAGTGGACTGCGATAGGCCGATGATGATTATGATGATATAAACGGAGCTAGGGTCCTGGTTAGGCGGGATTTGGATTGGATAGATCTTGAAATTGCGTGGTCCGAGTCTTCCTTAGAGTAGGCCGCCTCCGCCTTAGACTGACCGTTGGGGTGGTTTTTAGTGGAAACACAACATACTTCGGTCTACTGCATCAACACTATGGCATCCCAAGTAACTTTAGAAAATTCGCGAGCAATTATAAGTTAACTACGAATTATTAGAGCAACAACTTGTACAAAATCATGCAATGCACAGAATGACAGTTGGTAAGGTGATTTCTTTCTCTGCGCACCCATAATGTAACACCCTATTGCTATAAGGATCAGCCTTAAAAAAACATGCAGTTCAGTTAACAGTAGATCTGTCAAGTTAACGACGATATCAAATCAGTTCAAGTTTCTGGAATGTTGAGTAAAAAAATTACTAACAACATTCGAATAGCATTTGCCACAAGATCTCACAATCAAATTTAACAATTCAGTTAAATGATTCAATGAACAAATCAAAATTCTAAGTCACATTTTCAACAACTCAATATATACTTGACAAGAGCTTGGAAATAGGTACAATTAGTTAATTTGGAATTGAACTGCTTTTTAGAAATCAGTTCTACTTGTTACTTTGAATATACACGATTTCAAATTTTCGAACTTTTTTAAGATCTGATAATTGTAGGTCGATGTAATAGGTAACAATACCAATCTCCTCGACTGTAAGTCTTATCCGTCGTAACATCCTATTTAAAACTTTCTTACAAGCAGTAACAAAGTTACTAAAAAAAACATTTTATTTACAAAAACTTCAAAGTTACAATACTAAAATAAGCAGCCCTTATCACACATAAAAATGAAAAACTTTCTAAAAATACGTAAATGTAA